GGCGCTGTGGTAGGCGCCTGTAGTCCCAGCTACTTGGGAGGCTGAGGCAAGAGAATCACTTAAGCCCAAGAGTTGGAGGTTGCTGTGAGCTGTGATTCCACAGCTCTCTACCATGGGTGACAAAGTGAGACTCTGTCTCTTAAAAAAAAAAGAAATCTGTTTTACCAGAACTAAAATATTTGTTGACATGTCATTGTTCTTTCTCAGGGAGGGGCTTTTTATTTCCTGGAGCATGTGGCAGCTGAGCGATCCACCTGGAATTCCTTCTGGCAACAGGTCCTAGATCCTCTCTGGTACCTTCTGTTTGATGGGTGCAACCTGACCAGAGAAAGCTGGAAGACGCTGGAGCGGGCCAGCTTCTCTAAGCTGAAGCTCCAGCACATTCAGGCCCCGCTGTCCTGGAAGTTAGTGCGCCCTCATATCTATGGATATGCGGTGAAATAGTGTCAGTAAGCAGGAGAGTGCCGAGTGGCTCAAGTAACAGGGGATTCAGTTGTCCATGGGCCAGACTAACTGGGAGAAGGGAAACCCTGATTTTTAGATAAATTTGAATTTCATTCTGAAAAGCTTCTCTTATGTTGTATTAGTCATTTTCTCTTATCTCCTAAAGAATTAAAAACTAAACAAAATGACAGCTTTGGACTCCCCCTACAAAGGAACAGTGGGCTTTCATAATTGAAGCCCACCATTATACCCAAATCTTACTTTATTCATTGGCTTTCCAATTTTCTTTCTATCTTTTCCTTTTTTTCTTTCTTTTTTCTTTTTTTTTGAGACAGAGTCTCACTTTGTCATCCTCCTTAGAGTGCCGTGGCGTCATAGCACACAGCAACCTCAAACTCTGGGGCTGAAGCAATTCTTTTACCCCAGCCCCTGAGTAGCTGGGACTACAGATGGCCACCATAACGCCAGCTATTTTTAGAGATCAGTCTTGCTCCTGCTCAGGCTGGTCTCCAACCCCTGAGTTCAACCAATCCCCCCACCTCAGCCTCTCACAGTGCTAGGATTATAGGTGCGAGCCACGGCATCCGGCCCCAATTTTCTTTACATGGTGACCCAACAGATTATAATTTCACCTCCTCTTTGAGAGTTTGACACTAATAAGCAGTTAAATCACTCAAAGGAAGAATGAGAAAAGGGGGCAGTGCAAAGATTGTAAGTAATTCACAGTCTGAATAGGAAATCCAAGTCCAAACAAGCACAGATTTTCTGAAAAACGAATCTGAACCTATTTGTTATTCTTAATGTCACTGGTCTGGTTTCAGAATTAATGCCCCAGGACGTCACACCCAGGAGTTAATAGCTTTATGTCTTTCATTCCAATATTCCACCAAAGCTCATTTTCCTGCATTCTAGCCCTCAGTTCTGAAGATAAAGATTGTACTTCACAGATTAGTACATCAGTAAAACAATTTAAGGCAGTTAATCTTCTTGGATTCATGTTCCTTATAATCTAGCACAGACTTAGCTGAGTATGGTACTTTTTTTTTTCTTTGAGACAGAGTCTCAAGCTGTCACCCTAGGTGGAGTGCCATGGTGTCATAGCTCCCAGCAATCTTAAACTCCTGGGCTTAAGCGATTCTCTTGCCTGAGCCTCCCAAGTAGCTGGGACTATAGGCACCTGCCACAATGCCTGACTATTGGGGTATGGTAGATTGTAAGCAAAAGAAAAAGTTCCACTGTGATTAGGAAAACCTTATATTATTCAGTGTACTATGTAAGCGCCTCTAAGGATCAATCAATCTGTGAGTCTGTAAGAAGGAGACATGTCTCTTCTGGATGATTCTGATCAAATTCCACTCCTGTTCCGAGATAATTGCTTCCTTATTAGCAACATGGAAACTGTGAAAATCATCGCCAGTGCCTTTGGAAACAAGTGTCAGGGTGGTCTCTGCCAGTGGGTTAATGGCTAGGATTTTCAGCGATAGTGTGTAAATGTCTCTTTTCTGAGATGATTTTGAAAAGATACCATTTTAAATATCCAATGAGCCAATACATTCATATTCATGTCAGGAATGGAATAAAGTAAACTTTGCCGGCTTGTTTTCCTGTACTGCAGTGTCTCTGGGAGGACTTTCCTTTCTGTGGAAAATTTATTAATAGCTATCTGAACACACATCTTTTTCTTTCTACAGCCTGGTAACTGTAAACACAGTTAGTAGAATTTAGAGAAAGGAATATTAGAAGGATCAGAATGGGTCTTGAAAAGCTCAAGCCCAAATACCCTATCTGTAAAACCCACATAGGGGATTTGGGAGAAAGAGGGAAGCTCACTACTCCTCCTCTCCTGTGACCATGAAAATTACTGATGCAGTGAGGGCGGATACTCATCTAAGGCCTCCTGAGCTCTGAAACATGATTCTCCTTCCTCTGATGTTCCCCCAAAGCAGAAAGTGCCTTAATCTACCCCTCCCTGTGGCTGAGGTCAATCTAAGGATTGAGAGAGATGAAAATCCACAGGTGGGCAGGGTCAAACAGGACCATCCCATTGGAGGACAGTCCTGAAGTACAAAGTACTAGACACATTCTTATCATGTCTTCTGGTCTAAGTGGTGTGGCACATATTAGCCTCACTTTCTATGGAGCAACTGAGGTGCAGATAAAAGTTATTTTCTATTTTAGGGACCTGCTCTCACTCTGTCACCCAGGCTGGAGTAGAATGGCACCATCATACCTCTGTAGCCTGAAACTCAAGGGCTTGAGCAATCCTCGTGCCTCAGCTCCTTCATAGCTAGAAATAGGGGTGTGGGCCATCACGCCTGGCTAATGTTCAAATTTTTTGTACAGACAGGGTTTCACTGTGTTCCACACGCCCATCTCAAACGCCATTCTCCCACCTTAGCCTCCCAACCCCCTGGGAATACAAGCAAACCTACAGAGCCTGAGCCACAAGTGAATTTGATTAGAATCAGTCCACCCCTTCCTGAGCAAGTCTTAGAAGCCCTGCCTCCCAAACCACAAAGTCTGCTTGGCCACCAGTGCTGCCGTATTATCTTCTCACTGCTCTCCTCCTTGGGCCCTGTGAACACACATTTACAATCATTCTAGAGCCAGAGGAAATGACTTCAGCCTGTGCAAAAGGAAACACACAAAAAGGCAAAACATATGCAATGTCTGTTAGGCCCCTCCTGGGTAGGGACCCTTCACTGCGAGTGGTAGAGCTCCTAGCCCAACAGGCTCAGCAGAAAAGGGACGCTACTGACCCACAGCAGGGAAAGGCACAGGGGCAGAAAGCCTCAGGCGCAGCTTGAGCAGACTCAGGTAACGTTACCAAGGGCCAGGAAGCTCCAGGCGAGGGTCACGTCTGCCCACTCTGTCTGGTCCATTTAGGGAGCAAGCTGGTGGGAAGAGTTCCAACCTTCGTGTTTCCAGGGCCCGAGGCCGGTGAGACACAGCAAGTCCACTCTTGCAAAAACTCCAACCGAAGTCCTGGATTGAGTCTCAGCTGTCAGCAGCCCATCCCTGAACCTCTCATGATGGTTAGAGGAGATGGATGGATTATGCTGGCTGGCTCAAGTACAAGTCACAGAGTTACATTCTGGGGCAGAGCACACCCAAACCTTGTCTCATGTGGAACAAGGCAACAGGATTAGGAATCTTCCAAATGAAAACAGCCTGGTACTGGGGAAAGATTTTAGAATGGATGCTGGGAGGGTAGACAACAAATGCCGACGACAAGCCCATCACTGGACTTTGATGAGCCCCTCTGTCTGCCTTCCTAGGGGACATCACACAGTACAGTGCGTCAAACCCTGGCTGTGTCGTGTGTTCATTGCATGCAACAAGGAAAATAAAAACAAAATAAACCCAGCCTTTCCCACTGAAGTTGACTGTGTGACCTTGGGCAAGGCGCTTCTAGATTGTCAGTTTCCTTATCTGTAAGAGGGTAGAATATCTACCTCAAAGGTCACAGCCAGGAGTGAATGAAGTGATGTGCCCGGCACTTAACAAATGGTGATTTCGGCTCAGCACCTGTAGGACAGTGGTTACACTATCAGTCACATACACCAAGGCTGGAGGGGTGGAACTCAGCCTGGGACAGCTAAGCAACAACGACAACTGCAACAGAAAATTAGCTGGGTGTTGTGGCGGGCTCTTGTAGTCCCAGCTACTTGGGAGAAGGAGGCAAGAGAGTCGCTCAAGCCCAAGAGTTAGAGGTCGTTGTGAGCTGTGACGCCACAGCACTTTACCTGGGGGGACATAGTGAGACTATGTTTCAAAAGAAAAAGTTCATTTTATTCAACAAATATTGATTGAGTGCCTAAGGGTCCTCTGCCCTTCATACTGGGCTCAGGGGCCTGAAAGGGTGAGACTCATCCTTGTCCTAGTGGAGCACAGGATTGTGACTAATGTGGTCTAGAAGGAAGAAGCACAGGGGGCCAGGACGATGTGATGTGACCTACCCAGGGAGAGGAGACTGGAGGCTTCTTTGAGGACGTGACATCTGAGCTTAATTTCAAAAGATGAATAAAGAATCTTTCACCACAACAGCTTGTGCCACAGCCCAGTGAAAGGAATAAACAGTACGTTCAAAGAGAATGGGCAGGGCCAGGCTCCAGAGCCTGAAGGGCAGATTCGGGGATGGCTCCTATTTTGCCAACTTCTTCCTAAACTTGCTAAGACCTGTGACATGGGCCCAACACTTACTGGAATGGTGAACAAAAAAAGACACATTCAAATATCTTGGCTTGGCACCTATAGCTCAGTGGCTAGGGTGCCAGCCACGTACACCAGAGCTGCTGGGTTTGAATCCAGGCTGGGCCAGCCAGACAACAATGACAACTACAACCAAACAATAGTCAGATGTTGTTACACGCACGTGTGGTCCCAGCTACCTGGGAGGCTGAGGCAAGAGAATCACTTAAGCCCAAGAGTTTGAGGTTGCTGTCAGCTGTGATGCCACAATACTCTACTCAGGGCAATAGCTTGAGACTCTGTCTCAAAAAAAAAAAAAAGTCTTCTATTTATATTCTAACACTGGGAAGATTTTCCTTCCCAAGTATTCTCGTATTTGAATGGTTTCTTCGGACACCCTACATATTTCACACTTGAACACAGGAGGAAAGCGAGGCAAACACTACCTGAGAGTTCCTGGTGTGCTCTTGGCCCTGACATACGCCCTTGTCTCTGGTGTCCCCCTGGAAAACAGAGAACTTAACTAACTGAAAGTTATGTTTATCTGTTCAAGCAGCTGAGAGCGTAATGGATCCAGCAAACCACTGTCAACAAACGCAACAAAGCAAACTGCTCAGTTTGCCTCACTTCTAACTGTGTCAACACTTAACTAAAAGCTCAGGCTGCACTAAAGAATCTCAAGAATTCCATGTTGAAGGGTGGAGCCACTGGCTGGTCAAAGTGCCAGAACTTAGGGTCAGAGGAAACTATCTGGGACCCTGTAAAGAACGACATGGGCACGTATGTACGAACTAGGAAAACCATCATTCAGAAGGCATCGTTCTTAAAAGGAGAAAGCTCAATAGTCCTGCCTCAGGCTGCATCCTTCTCTTTTTCTTTTCTTGCAGGGCTCTGTGGCATCACAGCTCACAGCAACCTGAAACTATTGGGCTCAAGTGATTCTCTTGCCTCAGCCTCCCAAGTAGCTGGGACTACAGGTGTCTACCACAATGCCCGGCTAGTTTTAGAGACAGGGTCTCCCTCTGGCTCAGGCTGGTCTTGAACCTGTGAGCTCAGG